AGGATGAGAAAAATGTCAATACAGCCTGAAGATAATCCAAGTGTCAGTGAAATTAATATCATCTACTTTCCTTGCAGTCCCCGAGGTCACTAGACAAAACTATTTCTGTTATTGATGTATGCTGTCCCTGAATCACAGAAAGAGAGAATAATTGCCTCTTTCCCACCTCAAAAATGTCCTTAAACAAACACTAGTGATAGCTGGACAAAGATGTTCCTACATCCACTGAAAAAGCTCCGAGATGCTGAACAAAACTTATCTGGTCTTTCCAAGGCACCCTTTTTGAATGCAGAAGGCCATGGCTCAAAATCACTTGGGTTTTTGGAGAACCAAAAAGCCATTCTCATCAAGCTACTGAAAAATTAATTTCAGTTAGGTTTGGTCTTCAGTGTTAAGAAAATCCCTTTATTTGTATCTAAACATGCCTGCCACCTATTTATCTTCCCTCCACTGTGAATATAACGCAAAGAAGGGCTTTGAGGAATAGTGGAGGGGTTGGCATATACTTCTGGACTTAAACCCGTGAGTTTCTCCTGCTCTAATTGAGTATGTGGCTCAACCACACTAGCCACACTAATGTGCGAAGTGGTTCTGTAATGTATGGATGTTGGTTACACAATGCATGGGGAGGAAGGGGAGCTACAGTAGATTGGAAAACATCTTGATACTAAACCAGGAAGAAGAAAATGACTTGGGGTGCATGTTGGGATGGTACAGATAAATTTGGAGAAAAGGAAGAGAATGACTATTTTTTTGTCCAAGGAGGAGCCTGGTCCCTGGGGAATGTTGTATACATAAGCAATGAAACTGAAATTTGTGAGGAAATAAAATATGGGTGGCTAAACATTCCCTTCTCACCTCAGCTTCACTTGTAGATGGAGATATTTTCCAGTAACTGGTTTAATCAAGAGAAACTCTTCCTCCCACTGTCTTTCCCACTACCTTTGGACTTCCTGTACCTTTTTGTACTTCAGAACTCTAATGTCTTTTTCTGTTCTGAGAATAACTTTGGTTTCCTACAGGGACTGCATCCCTTCTGTCTTCCCCCCTCCTGCATCTGAATTCTGATATTCCACAGGTGACTGAAAAAAAGCATTAATTTCTCTTCCTTTCTGTGAGCAACATCCCTGCCATTACACATTTTATATAATGAAGTTTGTGGCACAAAACTGATGCTGGTCATTGAGCATATGAAAGATGGAGCAATGTTTTGTTGTGTGAGCCAAGAAAGGATTCCAAAAATGCTTTTATCCAAGTTCAGATCTCTGGCAAACAGTGAGGTGCAGCTCCATGTTGAAAGCCTTCTCAGGCATGTGGCTGATATATTTACAGGACTCTCATCTGAAGGTGATCATGCAAGGAAGACTTATTCCAATGAGCTTTTTATATGTGTAGCCTTGTGGAACTGACATTACCTAAGACATGGCTTTATCAAGCAGCAAAGAGACACAGACTGCTGCAGTATCAGAAGTAGGGACATTTCAAGGAGCTTGGTGTATGCTTTATAAAACTGAAGGGAAATTTCCTTGCCAGAATACAAAATACATTTCCCTCTCCTTACTTTTAATTCACATTTATTACTAAATCTTATGTTGTAAACAAGACTGAGAGGCAGTTTTTTACAAACTGCAAAAGTTGGGACTATAAATATGATCATTAAAAACACAGCTCAATATATTGTATGGGTAAGCTGGGAATAGACTTTTTAAAATCTGTTTTTGATACAAATCTAAATAAGACAAGATCCAGCCATCATGTGAATACTAAGTTAGGTGGGGACTACACAGCCATGAAGTAATGGATGTCCTGTTACCAGGAGCACATATTGTATCAGCTGTGCTCATGGAGGCCAAGGGGGGGTTCAATTTCCAAATAGTGCCTGTTGAATTTGTTCCTGGCTGAGGAAACAAGGGTTAGATCTCCTGAGGAACATTGCTTGGCACTGATGTCAAGGGGGGTTTTTTGTGTGGATATTGACCTTGGTCCCTGTAAAGGCATAAAATGCATGTCTAAAGCCAGATGACTGGTTTGCAAAATGTAGCAGCTCATGTAATACACAAAGCAGTTGTCTTGACTAAAAAGACAACTACTTTCCTTTAAAACAATCAGAGCTGGGTGGAAAATCATTGACTCATCCTACAACAGCTTTCGAGGTGCCACCCTATCCCGCTTTTCCATCCTGAGGGCAAAGTAAGACCTTCAGAGGGTAAATCCTCCCACAAGCCCAGACTGATGCCTTGCCCGAGGCATGGAGATCTGCGTGCCCTGGGGAGCCAGCTCAAAGCACAGAGCCCGAAGGCCAACCTGGTAGCTGTTGACTCCACTTTGCCTTATATATGGTGCTTATAGGCTAATTATCCAAAATTCACCACGTCAATGGGCAGTTCCCATCACTGGTGTTTCAGAAGTGGGTCCTCTGTTGGACCGATGAGGCACTTAAAGCAAGTTCCCTCCTAACTGACTTGCAGCAGCTCCTTTTCCAGCTGATCTGCGTTGGGTAAAACCTCAGCTGCTCACTGAAACAGAGACATGAGCTGGGATCTGCCATATCTCAGGCAAGGCCCCCGGTGGGTGAAGAGTTGACCATTTGCACTAGTTGACCTTCAGAAACTGACTAGCCTGGTGCAGTGGCCTGGTCCCTGTAACGTGGGCTTTGGAGGCTTCTGGATGGCCCAGCTGGGATGTGAACCTAAGCTTATACCACACCTTCAGTACTCTGCTCTGGGGGACATGTGGAGCTGGGTATCTTTTTCTCCCCTTCTCTATTCTCCTGGCACAGGAAAGCTTGCCCTGATTTGAGATGGCTTTGCTGGCTGATTGCTGCCTGGGGAGGATGGCCTGGGGGAGTGGGGCTGGAGGAGCACTTGCAAATATATTTTCTTGCTGTTTCAGTTATCTCAGTTAAAAGTTTTTTTCTCAGGGAAATTTCATGTTTGACATTTTCTGAAAAATACCTCATCAGTTTCATGGGAAATGATATTTTTGCATTAATTAGGTAACCTAGCTCATATAGTACAGCAACGCAACATTCTTTACCAGGGAAGTATTAACTCTGCACCCACCACGACTGACGCAGCTTCCCAGACAGAGCTGTGGTGGGAACTCGCTGCCAGCCAGGTGTCAGGCTGCAGGCTGTGCCCTGCTCGTATGCCAGTACCAGGCGGCAGCAGTGAGCACACCTGTGGGAGGTGCGCCCAGGGAGAGGAACTCCTCTGCTTAGTGACAGAGCTCCGGGAGGAGGTGAGTGGGTTGAGGAGTATCAGGGAGAGCGAGGGAGAGAGGTAGACTACTGGAATCGCACCCTGCCTTCCCTGACAGGCAGACAGGACG